GTCTGGGTGTGGTGGCATGCACCTGTAATCCCAGCTACTCAGGAGGCTGAGTCAGGAGAATTGCCTGAACCTGGGAGGTAGAGATTGCAGTGAGCTGAGATCGTGCCTCTGTATTCCAGCCTGGGCAACAGAGCAAAAACTCCATCTCAAAAATAAGTAAATAATAAATAAATAAATAAATAAATAAATAAAAGCAAAGTAGAAGTCACTGTGAAGAAAGCTGGAGGAGTTTGAGAGGTCAGGTGCCATCAGTCCTCTCAAGCAAGCAACAGTGCTGTGGGAGCACAGAGAAGTGGACAAAAATGCAAGCTGTGCTACCACACTGCCCCTTGGTGGGTGGTGGAATTGACAAATTGCAGGTTACAGGGAGAGCATTTTAGAAGGGAATGGTGTGGACAGATATAAGGAGAATGGAACTATTAATTAGCTCACATCTAGAGGGGTAGTGGAGGCCAGTCTACTGAAAAGAATGGACATTCAGTAGCCATTCCTCCATAATATTAATTATAATAAATTCATAGGGGTAAAATGAATTGTCTGAGCAGCACTATATTGTATGGTCTCAGAAGTACAACATCAAGTCTCTTTTCCAGACAAGCAGTAGCTTCTCACTGTGTGGCATGCAGTCTTTGGAATGCAGGAGAAATCAAAGTGACTGTGAACCTGGCTTTGAGATTGCAGTTCCTTGCATCCTGCTCTGGATCCATAGCTTGTTTCAGAAAGAGTAGCAAATTCTTGTTTGCATGAGACTTCTTTATTGCTACGAGGCTATCATTAGAGATTTTCCAGTAGAAAGTATAAAATCACAGTTAGAGGCCACCGTGGTGGGGATTCTAGGTAGGCAAGATCAGGTCCCCTAAGCTTGGTGGTGGTGACAGTTAAAGATTTACTGTTGCTTATATACAGGCTGGGTCAGGGGCTTCAAAGTTAATTGCTGGGCTCTTTGGTGTTTTCCAACATCAACAACCAATTCTGATTCTCTGGACAGCAAGTGGGTTTAGCAATTCAGTTCAATCCTGACAGTACCTACCGGGACTTAGTGCATACCCCACAGCTTTACAGCTCAACCCCATAAGACTCTCCCTCACTGCAGACACCAATCACAAATCCTGGGCCACCTGTGCTTCTGACTGAGTGGCTGTACATTGAGTTTCCACGCCTCTTTTCTCAGATTTAATAATTTGCTAGCGTGGCTCACGTAACTCGGGAAGGTACTTTACCTGTGTTTATAGGTTTATTGGAAAGAGTACAATTTGGGAACAGCCACCTGGGAGAGGTGCATAGGGAAAGGTATTGGGGGTGCATGGAGTTTTCATGTCTGCTGTGGGCACACCACCCTCCCAGTATCCTCATATGTTCATCAACCTGGAAGCCCTAGGTCGAGGACAGAGCTGGAAGTTCCAGTTCTTGAATCACTTGGCCTTTCTGGTGACCAGCCCCATCCTGAAGCTATCTAGAGGTCCATCCTACATTACCACATTAGCATAAACTCAGGTGTGGTCAAGGGGGGCTTCTTATGGATAGCAGAAGACACTCCTATCACTCAGGAAGTTCCAAGAGTTTTAGGAGCGCTGTGCCAAGAAGCAGAAACAAAGACCAAATGTACTTAAATGTATTATATTATACTGGCAAAGTATAGGCTCAAACAAATTGCTATGCAAACTCTATTTTTTTGTTTTTGTCTTTTAACCGTTCTTCTGCCATATCCATTCCAAATAAATGCATGCCATTTCTTTCTTCTTGTTTCTTAAACATTCATTTTGAAGTACTTCCCTGCTTAACAGAAGGGTTGCAAAACTGGCAGAAAGAATTCCCATATACCTTCCTGTAGATTCACTAATTGTTAGCATTGTTAACATTTGGCCACGCTCTATCATTGTCATGCATATTCTCTCTCTCTCTGCATACATGTGCGCACACACATACACACACGTGTGCACACATACGTGTGTATATATCTGTGTCTGTATGTGGTTCACACACCCATATATAGTATACATACACAATGTCTACATCTTGCCCCTTTGCCCTAAATACTTTAGCATGTGTTTCATTGGAACAGGTCTTAGAAAACCACAATGCTTTCATCAAATTTGGGAAATTTAACATTGATACAGTAATGTCTTCTGATATGTAGAACTTGTTCTCACTTTACTAATTGTCTTGATAATGCTCCCATCTTTTTTTTTTTTTTTTTTT